ATCAGCAGCAAATCTGCTTGACCAAAGGTAACCAATACACATTGGTTTTCCTCATTCTGAACAAGATAACGTGGCAGTATTAGACTTCCTCACCTTACAGAGGTTAAGGGAATGACAGATTAATACAAGATAAAGCTTGTGTTTCTCTTCCCCAAAGATCTTTAGACCTTCACCTCTGATCCTATGTGAGATTTTTCTACAATCTCATCATTGATTTCTGAGCTTCCAGATAAGGTGCATATAAACATGTCTGAATTCCAGGTAGCCTCTGAATCCATATTGCCACTATATACAGTCTCTTTTGCGTCATACATACATAGCTCCGTTCTCTACCTTCCATTGTATTACATCCTTAAGAAGGTATGGAAAGATTTCAGAAGTATCTGTTCTACTTCTCTGAGCTCCTCATTTCTCTGGACTGGTTCCTCAAAACTCACACTTCCCACTGGAGCCAGGTGTGGCAGTTGTGAGGCAGTCTTCATCCACTGTGTGAAGAAACTGTCAGGAGAGGAAAGAACAAGGGCAGTGCACAGACCTGAGAGCTGCTCTTTGAGATGGAGGTCTATGTGGCTGTGCTCCAGCAGTACTGAGTTCAGGGAGCCCTAGTTCTCTCTGATACTGGTTGGCACTATTCCTGAGATACAAGGTTAAGTTGCAAAATCAGGTATTGTCTAAGGCCAGATGTGTTCCAGTAAACAGGGCATGGACCTTGAATTCAGTTGCATTATCACTTGGAATTATTAAATCACTACCAAGGTTTAACAACCTGCACTTTTGCTCGTGCCAACACTCTCCCATATAGTGCCCAATCACAGCTGAGGCATTAGAGGGGTGAGGGAACGCCGAGCAGCAAATGAAGCCACCTGCTCTTCTGGGCTAGGAAAATATATGCACTGTACAATTTGGCTTCGAGGCTGAAGAATGCTCCTGGACCATTACTAGTACAGATGCAACCTAAATGTCTCTATTATGGTCCCAGTTATTGTCTTCCTCCACTCATAGTTTGGCAGCCCTGCCTGTGGCAGAGGGGTTGGAGCTTGATGATCCTTAAGGTACCTCCCAACTCAAGCCATTCCATGATTCTATCCTACCTTCTAAGTAGAAAGTAAAGATACTAGCTTGTCATTGGAGAGTATTTCACTTAATATTTAGAAGCGTGGTGGTTTTCTGGTTTTGATTTTTTTTTAGTAGTTCTCTAAATTCCTTCTCTGTAGTCTCCCAAATGGTCAGCTTCTTTCCCATGCAAGAAGTTTGGATCTGTAACAGTAACCATGACATTTACAGTTACTTTGTTAAGTACTGTATATTGGTTCTGCATCAATTTTGTGACTGTCAATTTAAAGCTACTATTTAAACTATAACAGGCTCTTTTGCCAGGTCTGTATCCACTGATCATTCTTGAGCCATTTTTCTTTCTAGTTCCCGGAACATCCTTCAGCCATTAGGCTTCTGATATGTGGAGTAACTCAGAAAGATTTTCTAAAACACATCTTGGAGCTCAGTGAGAATGTTAGCTTAACTATTTTTTAAAGGGCTATGCCCAGATTGGAGAAATATTTTATGTTTAGGTATGTTTTAATTAAATGTTACTGTAAAGCACTCACTGTCTTTGTGTATATGCATTAGCTGGCAGTGTACCCCTCTTTCACAGGATAACTTATCATCCAACGTGTTCTAAAACTGCTTGCCTCTGCCTGCACCATGTGAAATATCTTTTCTTTTTTGACTTCTCTCCAAAACAGCACGGGTACCATGAGAATGGTTTCCTCCCCACATTATAATTAGAAGGGCTAGGTTAAATCTTTCCATTTTATCCCAGCATGGGACAGTTTTACCAGAGAGAATTTTACTAACCTAGCAGACTTCCTTTTGGTGCAACATTTATATGCCAGTAAGAAATTTAGTAGAGACACCATCAGAGTGGTGAAAAATGTCTTTGCTGGGATAGTTTATTTCACTGAGAGATCCAGCTCAGACTGCTCCAGTGAGTGTGCTCTCCGATGCTACAAGCTGCATCTGCACTGTCAAAGAAAATGTTGCCTAGTTTATAGTGAGCCTAAGTCTAACAGGATTTGATGATACTGATATTCTAATGTTAACAAGAGTGACAGAATATGTTTAATTTTACTATCTTGGAGGATTTTCACAATCAAGATAAGACAGCTCAGGTACAAAGCTAAAAAAATGTTTCATTATAAGAATTTTGGGGTTTTTTCCTTCTTTAGATTGTGCTTCAGTTACTGACCAAGACAGTAGGTACCTTCCTCTGACACAGCTTATGTCAACTAACTAAATTACACTTTGTGAATAAGATATTAATTCTACACTTCCGAGTTCTAAACAAAATATTGATAAATTTCTGCTGCATTGAAAGTGAAACCCTTCATCGAGAGAAGATTTATAGTCAAGTGAGTTGAGCTGTCTTGCTTATGATTAATTCATGCTTTATCTCCAAGGGAAATACACCACTGTGGATACAATTCATGAAATACCAACTGCATGATTCTAATTAAGATACAGGTTGTTGTATTAAGCAGTTTAAGCCATGTTAAGGAATATCTCCTTCCAAAAGGTTACTGAAATGATATACCATAAAAACTTCCTCTAGAAAATAGGATTCTATTTCAGCTGTTAAATTTCACTGTGAGAAAATAAAATACATGACCCAGTAATAATCTGTTTGATTGATATTCCTCAGTATCTGTGCCTCTCCGCAGTATAAAGCAGCTTCCCAATCCATTTATAGAAGATATATATAGGGCCAGTCTGAACAGTACAATTATCAGAAACGTGTGCCACTGAAGAAAATAAAATTATTACAGACTAGATGTAAAGAAAAACTCGTACCTCATTCACAGATGCCTGGAACCTACCCATCTGTTAGTTACTTCTAGACCCCAGCTTCTGCAGAATCTGAACATCAGTCCTCTAAGCACATTAGCATGTCTGTGGTATTTTACAAGTCAGACAGATCTCTGCTCTGGGTTTGCACAACTTGTTGAGCACAGATGTCCCATTGGGACTTTTCCTTGGTTTAAGTGCATTTGTGCACATAAGACATTGAGAGATCAAAACATACCAAAGCAGCAGGACCAGACTGAGATCTTAGATGGCTCGTGGGAGTAGTGAAACAGGAAATTAATTTAAAATTCTGGTTCTGCTGAGAAACACCTCTCAACTTTAATCTTCTCATGTTGTGCAGACTGGTGTGGCAGAGTAGGTAACACACATTAGATACAGACTTCTAGCTGTGCCAGAACATACTTGAACAAGTGTATAATTCTTCACTAGAAAAAGAGGTGTTTCCCTTTCAAATTAAACACTGTGAACACTGTGTGTTGAATAGACACCAGTTGTCTTTACTTACAGCCTCCAAATGCTGACATCTGTATTTGCAGTATAGACAAAACACGATCAAGCACAGCCTTACTCCTTCAGTATGGCTTATGTAGCACTGGTGACATAGAAACAACTTCCAAATGACACGTGCATGCAGCTTTGCCTACAGGGAGGCATTCAGCTGACCTTCAGGATAAGCATCCCAAATCCATTACTGTTGGCAATCAGATACTACCGGTCTGGAGGCGCTTGCCTGCTGGATTGCACAAATTGCTATGCATAGGCTTTAATTATTCCTAACCTAACAGGCATTGATTGTAGCTATAAAGAGCAGCTTTATCATCTAACTCATGTAGTCAGCCTTAGATTCTATAAAGCCAGTGTAGAAATAAGTTCAATCCATATACATTTATGTTGAATGAAGTGTGAGTACAAATCAAAACGTCTACAAAGCCTGCTTATCTTTAGACATACTGATAGGAGATGAAATGATCAGGAAAAGTCAGTTGAGAGGAGTTGGGAGGAATGAACTGGGATTTTCCCTCTCATAAATCAGCAGCAAATCTGCTTGACCAAAGGTAACAAATACACATTGGTTTTCCTCATTCTGAACAAGATAATGTGGCAGTATTAGCCTTCTTTACTTTACAAAGGTTAAGGGAATGATAGATTAATAATAAGAAAAGTAAGACTTGCATTTCCATAGAATCATAGAATGGTTTGGGTTGGAAGGGACCTTTAAGATCTTGCAGTTCCAACCCCCTGCTATAGGCAGGGACACCTCCCTCTAGACCAGATTGCTCACAGCCTCATCCAGTCTGGCCTTCAGTGCTTCCAGGGAGGGGGCATCCACAGCTTTTCTGAGAACCTGTTCCAATGTCTCACCGCTCTCACAGTAAAAAATTACTTCCTAACATCTAGCCTAAATCTGCCCTCTTGCAGTTCAAAGCAATTTCCTCTTATTCTGTCACTACCAGCCCTTATAAAAAGTCCCTCCCTGGCTTTTCTGTAGGTTCCCTTCAGGTACTGGAAGGCCATTTAGCCTTTCCCTCAGACCCCTCTGGGCCTTCGCTGCTCTAGAATGAAAAGCCACAGTTCTTTCAGCCCATCCGCACAGGGGAGGTGCACCAGCCTTCTGATGATTTTTGTGGTCCTCCTCTGGACCTGCTCTAACAACTCCATGATCTTCTTGTGTTGGTGGCCCCAGAACTGGATGCAATACTGCAGGTGATATCTCATAAGAGCACAGCAGAGTGGCAGAACCAATTCCCTCAACATTCTGGTCACTCTTCTCTTGATGCAACCCAGGATACGGTTGGCCTTCTGGGCTGCAAGCGCACATTGCCAACTCGTGTTGAGTCTTTCATCAACTGAAACCCCAAATACTTCTTCACAGGGCTCTCAAGCCATTCTCCACCTACTCTGTATCTGTGCTTCCCCCAAGATCTTTAGACCTTCACTTCTGATCCTACGTGAGATTTCCCAACAATCTCATTACTGATTCCTGAGCTTCCAGATAAGGTGCATATAAATGTGTCTGAACTCCAGATAGCCTCTGAATCCATACTGCTACTACATGCAGTATCACACACGCATAACTTTGTCCTCGACCTTCCATCGTCTTACATTCTTAAGGAGGTATGGAAAGAATTTAAAAGTACCTATTCGACTTCTGTGAGCTTCTCATTTCTCCAGACTGGTTCCTCTGAACCCCTCACTTCCTTCTGGATGAGGACTGCTCACAGGGGCTTGGCAGTGGACTAAACTCACTGTGTGAGGAGTTTTAATTTCCTAATAGCAAAGGAAAGAACCAGGGTAATGCAGGCATGTGAGAGCCGCTCTGTGCGAGGGGGGTTCCCGTTCCAGTGGTGCGGGATTAAGTGAGCACAGTTCAACTTTGGCAGCGGTGGCCAGGCTCCCAGTTCCTGAGAGAACCAACTTTAGCAAAGTTTTCGCTACGACACCGGTGAGTTAGAGCCCGCACAGACGGGGAACGTTTACGAACTATCGGGATCAACCACAGGCCTTGGCCGGCTCCCAGCCCTACGCCGCCCGCCTCAAGCGCCGGGCCCCGCCGCCATCTTGTTATCAGCGCCGTACACTGCCGGGCGGGGGCGGCCGCGCACGCGGGGCTGCTGCGGCATGGTGCGGGGCAGGGCGCTGTGGAGCTGCTGCCTGCAGCTCGGCGCGCTGCCCTCGGCGGTGTGCTGCGCGGGCGGGAAGCCGCAGCCGTTCGACAGCTCCTGCTGGAGAGCCGCGGAACCGCCGCGGAGGGGGTGGAGCGGCACCATGGAGGAGGAGGAGGAGGGAGAAGAGGACGGGACCGCTCAGGGGCAGCGGCCCAGGAGGTGAGCGGCGCGCCGGGCTGACGGCCGCTGCCCCGCGCCTTCCTGTGGGCAGGGAGGGCTCTGCGGGCGGGACCGAGCGGAGCCGGCGCTCCGGGAGCCGTGCGGAGGGAGCACCTGCGCGCCCCGCCGCCTCCACAGCCCGGCCGGGATCCGAGCGGTCGCAGCGACGCACCTGCTGCCGGGAAGGCGCGGCGGCGCCGGCCGACGGTCCGGTATCGGGGTCCCGCCGGGTGGGGAGGGAGCGGGGCAGGGCCAGACCGGACGGCCGCTTTGGCGAAGTTGGGCGTGGGGGGAGGGTCCCGGGGCCGCAGCCCTGCCGCCGGCCGCGCTGCGGTTTCTGCCGGCGCGGGGTCGGGCTGAGGGTGGGTCACCCCGGCTGGAGCTGCGGGCTCTGCCCCGGCCCGCCGCGGGGTTGCGGACCGTGTTCGCCCCGAGGAAAGTGACTCGGAAGAAGAAGTCCTACTTCATCCCCGCCGCCCCCGTGGCCGTGCTCGGGTTTACCGTGAGCGGACGGGAGGTAACGCTGCAGCATCGCTCCCGGAGCGACGCGTTATGTAACCTCCCGGCTAACGCGCTCCGAGGAACTGACGCCTTGGCGGCCGCTCCCGTGGAAAGGGACGCACGGACGGCGTTCCTCCTGCGCTGTGTGATGCAGACGTGAAGTGGTAGATATTAATTAATAGAGTAATCTAATATAATTAGTTCAGTCAAATAATCTGAATGATCAGCAGTTATCTCTAGTAAGGGCTTAGGCAAAGTATTTCTTGAATATCTTGGCTGCATGCGGTTGTGTCTGTGTTAGACTTCAGCTGAAGAGACTGATCTATTTTCACTTACTAAGTCACGTACCATAGCGAGTCTGAAGCAAGTTCTCAGCCTCTCATTTGAAGTACAGCTTGCATTTAGGACTTTCCTTTTTTATTTTTCAAATGACTCCAAAGAAAGTGACACCAAAAATTAAAGGTCAGGAAAGGAAAATAATTAATTTCATCACTTTTCTGACAGAAGACTTTTAAAAATGGCCATGGATTTTTCTTCACAGTAGCTACTTTACAAGTTAATGAGGTAGGAAGAGTGATTAATTTTACAGATATGAACCACAAACCACAAATAAGATAAATCCCATACTGCTTTGAGAATCGTTGCAGCAATTGCTTGAGAAATGCCTGATATAGTCTGAAAATGGAATCCCTGTCACGAGAAGATAATGGCCGGACTGAGAAGCCCACTCTGATGTAGGCAGTGTGGCCATGAGGAAGAAGAGTTGGAAGTGAAACTGGTACAAATAGCAGTGAATGGTGCTTTGGCTTGGTTCAAATTGAAAGAGATCTGTGGCCTTTTGTAGAGGAAGCGTTCTGGTATTGTTATTTTCTTCCCTTGTATAGGCTAAGTGGATTTGAGGAGTTAGCTCAGCAGCAACCTACTGTTTCCTTAACTTCTATAATCCCTAGATTGCAACAGAACTGCTAATTCACAATTTAAGGGTTTCTTTTTCTTCTGTAAATGAGAAAGCAAATGTTTTGTCTGCGATGAAGAAAATGCTAATGCTGTCATATTAATTAGTGCCTTTATGTATAACATATCCAGTGAAATTATTTTTTCCTTTTGGTCACATCTGTAAATCTGTTCCTGATATCAGTTTAATTTTTTGATCAAATGCTGTATGTTTGTAGGTTGTAGTCAGGATTCTCATTCTAACACGCTCGGAGCACAATTGCAGTAAATCACTTGGTCATCCAGCCTCTATGTGCAGCTTGAATTAAAGGGATTTTTCTATATGGCAGACGTACATGGTTTGAATATTCTTAGAAAACCTTGGAGTTGAGTCATATTATTTGTTGCTTGCATGTAATACGTTAGTGCATATATTAGCAGCTATATAAAGGAGGTATAATATGGATTTAGATAGCCTATAACTGCATCAAAATGGATAGCTCTCACAGAGTTGTTCAGGAAAGAGAACTGGATGTTACCAAGTGACACCATGAGGACACTTGGCTGCAGTCCTCTGGTGTCCCCGTTGTGAGAAATAAGGTTTGGTGTGGTGTTGTGCGAGAGAGTGGTCAGGTGGTGAGGAATTAGGCTGTGTAAATTGAGAGATTTTTCTTGGGTAAGCCCTGCTAGCGCAGTTAGTGCTGGTGGAACTGTCTGCTGAGCAAGGTTTGTTGTAAGGTGTCTATTTTTCATTGCATACAATGTTTGGAAGTAATTTAATTTGTTTACGCTGAAGGCTCCCATGCTGTGGGCTGGTTTTTGAAGGAAGTTTTCAGTGCGGTTCAGCTATTTCTGATGATGAAATTGTGGCAATAATGAGTTGTTTGTGAGCATCTATTTAGGCTTGTTAAAATGAAACACTTTGTCTCCTGAAAACTCCTACGTATTTAGAATGGTGCCTTGAGAATTAGTAGATGGCTCACATTTATGTTGGAGATGTGCTTTGCCTCCTTCAGAGGGGGAAAACAAACAAACAGCCTTAACATGAATGCTTTTGTTATTGACTAACAACAGAAGCACTTCGGATTTCTTTGAGGGTACTTGGAGAGGCCTCCCGACCTGTGGTTGTAGGGATAGAGAAAAAGGCTGTTTGTATATGGGGGAAAAGGGTGATGCCTTGGGATGTTCCCAGTTTCCTTCTGTATTTGTGTTATTCTGTATCTAGTGTTCTACTACTTATCATTCAGAAATTCTGTGTTTGGGAAGACTGATCACCTCATAGCTTAACTCTTGTGAAAGGTGGTCTTTGAACAGCTGCATTCAAGAAGTTTTTTCAGTAAAGAAAAGCTTTATTTTCCTTTCATTAAATGATGTGAAGATTATTTATTTGAATTTCAACACATCTAAGGTCAAGTGTTATAGTTTTGGCAAATCCATATGGCTAAGGGGAATGTGTATGTACATAGAAAGAGAGAAAGGATGTTATTTGGATAAGCAGAAATTCAACATATGATGAAATCCAAGTGTGACAGTAGATTAGAAAAGAATTTAGGGAAATATTTTTATATTACATAGAAATCACATTGGATACTGTGTGCTTAGACTCTGAACCGAAGAGTGGGAATTAAGTGAACCTGCATTTAAATATGTATATAAACAAAAATATGTGTCTGTTGACTTAGCAATGAAAACTTGTTTAATGCTCAGGCATTGCTGCACTTCCTGGCTAACTGAGGCTTTGCAGGATTTAAAGGATTATTTTGATTGTGAGCCTAGAGAAAGTTTGCGTAGTAGTTTGTTCCTTACTGGCATGGAGAGAGAGAAGGAAAAAAGAAAATTAAAAGGCTTTGTAAATGAGGTGGAGATAGCAACTGGGGAGCTGCAGACATAAAAATACCAGCACTGAATTGAAATGAACTGCTTCAGGTCCTGCTTTGCTATGTGGGTCCTATGGATGAAGGTGTTGGCAAGGCTTCTGTGCACTTCTATGGAACAGTTCTTACCTGTCTTTCTTTCTACCATAGTATGTTCAAATAGAGCCTTAGTCTCATTAAGTGTGGCAGTGTGGTGTTGTTTTGTTTTAGTCATATCTAATTGACATAGGGTGTTAGGCAGGGAGCCCTCTGCCCTCAGGACAGAGTGCAAGCCTTTAAAACTTCATTGTAGTTGAGAAAAACCTGTGCTAACAGCACAGCATCAGCATCACATAATGGCTTAAAATACTAAACCCGATCTGTGTTGTCTGTTAATGCATCTGAGAGGCTAAAGCGTGTTTGCAAATACTGAACTTTAAAGTTGGATCATTTCTTCTAACTGTAAGCTTCGTGCTGGAAGGGTTTGTGTCTGTGATTAATTGTGTTCACATCAGCAGACCAGCTAATGAAGAGCTCGTCCACAAGGCATTTATGCAGAGCTGATGCCAGAACACAGAGCTGGCTCTGGATCCTGTGACTGGATGGGTACAGTGAAAGGTTTGCTCTTTTAGAACAGCTTCATTAGAATTTCTTGCAACTGTGAGCAGCTGTCCATGGAGATTATCCTTGCTGCTGGAGTCCAAAGGTTATCTGTACTCAGCTGTGTGCATGGGCTGTCTTCTGGTATTTTTCTGTTGACTTTAAAAATCGTCTGTATTTGAGTCACCATCCAGTGGTTGTCTTGCATGCCGTACAGCAGCCATACTGCATGAACTTTGCTTTCTGTGTGTGGTCAGCTGGAGGCCTGCGTAGCACAGCAGGCAAGAAAATTTTAATTACAGCTCCAGAATGTGCATCCCCCATTCCTCCTGATGCATTAAGTAGAAATAGAAAATGGGTTGTTTAGAGAGTACAGTAAAACACTTTAAAGTGAAGGGAGAATTGAGTCCTGCTTTCCTTCTGCCTTCCCCAGGAACAGCATGGAGCAGTGCTGCTTTTACACTGAATCTTAACAATGGTCCCATATGTGTCCAACCCACAGCTTTATGTTTTTGTTGCCCTCTACTTTTCTCTCTCTCTCTCTCTCTCTCTCTATATATATATATATGTATGTATGTTTTAATACTTACATACATTAACAATATTCTGTATTTTATATGTTGTCTAAGACAGTTCCTTTTCACTCATTGTGGTCCAGGCGAGCCTAAAAGCTGGACAGTCATGGTAGACTGAGTTTTTAAATGTGATAGCCATATGCCTGTTCTTGGAAACAGAGATGCAAAAGATGAGGCTAGAGAAGGAAATGAATAGTTTTAATAGGCATGTGTAGGTAAAGACACTGGAGGCTGGGTCTGTCGTCTCAGTTCATATGCATGGTTCCTATAGGCAACTATTATCATGTAGCATCATAAACTGTAGAGAATACAGAATTTTGCTGCAACGTGTGTAACGCTAAATACAAGGCATAAACGTGTCGGGGGCTGTAAAACCCTGTCCTTATTGGATAGGGACAGTCAGCCAGCTGGGACACCTGGATGGCAAAGGGATGGTTGCTGGGAGTTATCCCAGTTCCAGGAAGAGGCAGCTTCATGCAGTTTGTGCAAGTCCAGAGCTGATCACAGCACTGAGAAATAGCTGGCTCCAGGTACTGCTGGTGGATCTGACTAATGCCTGTTTGCATTTGTATCTGAGGGCACAGGAGGATGTAGCTGATAGCACCTGTAATCATTGTGAATAACTTCCTGTTGGCTTGGCACCCTGAGCCAGTTTGTTGCTGTAAATTCTTGAGTGTTTATACAGTGATCTGCGTGGAAATGAGGGCTTCTGTAGGGGACGGGATGGTAAGGAGTGACTGTCTGCTGTATCAGCTCCTAGGGGGGTTCACCATATGCACGTTTGTTTGTTTGTTTTTTTGCAAGCTAGAGGAGTGCTGAGGATGTAGGTAGGTTGGCTGGCAGTGATGGCTGCTGAGGCAATACAGCTGTTGTAAGTTGCATCACATTTGCTTTATTGGTAATTAATTTTTTTTTTCTCAGTAATGACTAAATAAAGCTTTGGTCCTCACATCTGTATTCATCCTAGTTCTTGGAGGTTTTCATAGGGAGGGCTATTTCTGCTTTTGTTATTAACTCAGTTATTTGTCTTTTTGTAATATCACACAAAATCATGATAGTCAGGATACTTGCAGGTGATTCATAAAAGCAGGGAAGGAATAGCTAGCAGCTTACACCTGTGCATGCAAGAAGGGAAGAAGGCTGTGGTAGCATGGCTTTGGGGACGAT